ATGATATTCAGCCATCTGGGTGTAGATGTCCTAAATGAAACTAGGGATACTAGATGAATGATCACCTGCCTCATACTCAGAATGGGATGACTCACCAGAAGGCTCAGGATTAGAAGACTCATGGATATGATCTAGCTCTGCCTCTAATGCATGTCGAGTGGAAGGAATGGACATCCTATGAAGGGCGGATACATCAAAAAAAGGACGAACTTTGACATTAATTTTAATTGATAAGTCGACCTCAAAATGAGTGAAAACTCTAGTAAGAAAGGCCCCGTAAGGAATAAAGGTAGTGTGTTCAGTGGCCATGATATCAAATATGACATTTCCCTACTTAACATCCACATTCCCGATAATAGCATGGATGGCACGAGTAAGTTCGTAGGAATAGTGGCTATAAGTTTCTGTTTTGGGGATAATGTTATAACAAATGATACGGCCAATGATTTTGGCCAAATGAGAAGCATTTTTAGATTCCAAAGGAAGGTGTTTGCCAGGTTTAGTCATGAGGGCTTCAGCAGTCAGATCATCATACATAACATCTTTTAAGAGAGTGTCTCCACGAGGAAGACCAAGAAATTCAGAGAGTTCATCAGCACAGAATATGATTCGACAATCTTTGACTTTGGAAGAAATGAAACGATTTTTAGGATTTGAGTTATCTATTCGCATGTTTGCATAAAATAAATGTACCGTGTGAGGATAGTAAGGAAGATTATTGGTACTAGAGAGCAATTCATACATGCGAACAAGATCAAAACAATCTTTGAGCAAGAAATGATGAAAATCTTTAAAATTAACATATCGCCCCGAAAAAGATTTGAGTTTACATATGGAACGATATTTAGCAATAAGTGATGGATCTCTAAGATAATGTTCATATATGATTGAAAATTAGAAGGAGGAGGTGGAGCATTTGATGATGAGGGTTGATCCCTCCCACTTCTATGACGCTTAGGAATACTTTTAGACATTATAGAATGATTACAAATGAGCTTTTAAGCACAGATCTAAGAATGCAAAGATAAGCCCTAAAACACAAACCGTAGGTTAAGCAACTAGTGAAAGGAACAAGAATAAGGCTAGGGAACGAGAGATATACCCAAAAGATGAGATTAGGACTGGAAAATCGTCTGAAGATGCAGACCAGTCGACTGAAGATGTAGACCAATCTAACTTATAACTCTTAATTGATAGGTGGAACTATCCAAATGGTCATTGTTCCCTATAATGGATGGAGGAGATTCGCTAAAAAAAAGATGGGCCTTTTGAAATTTGAAATTTGGAACGTCACATCTGTTCTACCACCCCGCGCCATGTGGATCTCAAGAATTTGGGCGTCGCTATTAAATCCCCGACAACTGATAGACAAAACTATCACATCATGTCAGGGAAGCGACGTCTCAAATCCCCCTGAAAATATATTTTATTTTATGAAGAAAAAGACAATCCCATCCATCGATGCTCTTTGCTGACCAGCGAAGCGGCGTCCACTCTACTAACGACACGAACGACGGAGTTAGTCGGCACCGTAGACTTCATTTAGTCAGAAAAATCGATTCGAAAAAAGGAGCCCTTCGACACGAAACAATATCTTAAACAGTCTACACATCCCCCCGATGACCGTGTCTAGATGACACCTCTTGGTATTACTCAAGAATCAATGTTGATCAACCCAAGAACAGTAAGCACACTACAACACCTGAAATCTACCATAGCGGTCGAAAAACGCTATGGTATTATATCATAGCGTTTTAATCAACGCTGTGTCAGAACCCGCTATAGTAGGTCTGTGGCTTTACATAGCATTTTCCCAAACGCTATCAAAAAGCTTCCAAGCATAGCGTTTTTATGTAGCTATAAAAGAGTATTCAATAGCGTTTCTATATTGCTATGACAAATATCTTTCATAGCGGTTGAAAAACGCTATTAGTTAGTTTCCAACCATAGCGTTTTTATGTAGCTATAAAAGGGTATTCAATAGCGTTTCTGTATTGCTATGATGAATATCTTTCATAGCGGTTGAGAAATGCTATTAGTTAGTTTTCATTCATAGCATTTCAACGCTGCTATTGTCTTACATTTGATAGCGTTTGAGTTACTATAATAGCGTTCCAGCGAATGCTGTCTTTCTTCTTTTAATAGCATTTCAGCAATTGTTTCCACTTCTTATAGCATTTCAGTTTTGCCTATAAACCTTTGAGGTTGAACTAGAAATAGCTTCCAATTATGACAACCATAAAAGCAAATATTTCATTTAAAGGTTCAAACTGATACATAACAAAGTTATAGCATACAAGAAGAGTCAACACAAATGTGCCAAAAAACAAATACTAGTCTTTGGATAATCCAACATGGAGTACAAAAAATTAACCATAGTACACAGAACAACAAAAACTAATTAACTTTGCTGTATTACATATGACTTGGGAGACTCATCATCTTCAGCAATTGAGTACTTGTACTGCTGCAAAAACAAAAATTAACAACACCAAAATTACAACTATACAAACATGATAAAGTAAAAACACATGATTGCAAGATGTATAACTTACCAGCTTTTCAAAGCATAACAACTTTGTCTGACGGCCAAGCTATTGTCGTACCAACGGCATCTTCAATGCATTCTAACTCAGATGTCGGCCTCCAAAGAGATGCACTAGGGATCCTAGGGATATCAACCCAAACACGCATAGCATTAGGACCTAAAGGAACGAAGTGAACAACCTGGTTCGGATCACTTGAAGACCAATGTCCTTCAGCAACTATCTTTCCCGAGCCAGCAATATCTAACAAGTTGCACTTTTTCTTTGAGTTGTTCACACTCTAGCAACAATGCAAAAACAGTGATATCAATTATAGAAAAGAAACTAGTACAATCAAATATCAAAATAATGATAGTATCAGAAAAAAAAGGTTACCGAAGGAGATGATATGTTTGTAGATTCCACATTGTTAATTGAGATATTTTCCAATACAACCTTGTCAGCAGGCCATGCTACTTTAGTGCCGATAGCATCTTCAATAGATGTCATGTCAGGTGTGGGTCTCCATGAAAAAGCTTCAGGACTTGTCGGGACATTAACCCAAACAATCATGGCATTAGGTCCGAGAGGAACGCCATTAACAAGCATTTTTGAATCATTGGAAACCCAACGACCTTCAGCAACAATTTCATCTTTTCCGGTCCAATTGAAGATCTTGCACTTTATATGATTCATATTTTTACTCTACCAATCAATGAAAACAAAGAAACTCGACTTAACTATTTATATGTAAGATAACTAATATGAGTAATGAAAGTAAATGAGCATGCTAAAAATTATTTTACCGATTGCATGGATATATTGTCTTCGTTGTCAGATTGCTGACTGATTTGGAACACCACCTTATCAGCTGGCCACGCTATTGTCTTCCCCTGAGCTTGTTGCATACAGAACATATTAGTTGTAGGCCTCCAAAGAAAAGCTTCTGGTTTGTTTGGAATGTCTACCAACACTTCCATTGCATTAGGACCAAGACGAGCATGATTTACAAGCTCCTTTGGGTCACTAGAACACCAACGTCCTTCAGCTACAACCTCATCTATTCCACACCAATCTAAAAGCTTGCACTTGTCATTTTTGGTTTAGGGCACATACTCTACAATGTATCAAACTCTAATTAGAACATAAAACTCTATCCGGATAATAACACATGTAATTTTCAAATTTTATACCTCATAATCGAATAAAAAGAAACATGCTAGATAATTGACTTAATTATTTACCTTAGGACTAGTCTTATCAATTTCGGACCCATTCTGCTCATCTTCATCTTGCTCATTCTGCATTCTCTGACAACTCAAAAAAAATAGTAATAATAATAATTGTTAGCAAATCTAGTTAAAATGATGGAGATGTGTAAGGGATATAAATGAAAACCAATAAAAATGTATAAGCATACTATAAGCATGAAAGATGTGGAAGCTTCATGAAAGAACATTACAAATCTTATAATTTGTTCCCAACCATACTCAAGTTTACCTAGGTCAACTCCAAATTCCTATCGAAGATAACTATAGCCCATGTTTGTTACTGGAATTACACCATCCTAAATGATTTGCGTCAAAATTACCAGAATACATCTCAAAACAACTGAAATGTGACCAGTCTAGAAATTTATTTATTATACTAGACTGATGGATGCGAAAAATAGTTCTAGCTATCAATTTGTAAATTAGTAATCAGAAGCTAACATAAATGTTTACCCAAAGCAATATTAAAAATTAGATGAAATCATGTCAAACAATAATCTCACCGATTGGTAAAGCTGGAATCCCCTTCCGCCAGCTTCAATTGCAACACTAACAGGTTGGATGGCAACAGCCTTCTTCAGGGCATTCTCATCATTCTCAGGAACATTCTCATATCCATCAATGGTTACGACCTTTGCATTTTTCTGCAAATAAATAAACAAGTCAATCAAGATGAGTACGCCACAAACGAATCTAATCAATACCATCAATAGTGAGGATCAGGGCACTAGCCCTATTCCAACATCTAATTGATTGAGATGATGAATACCATAAATTTTAAACTTGACAAAAAAACGTATTGATATATTATCATGGCCACAATTTCTATAACTGTGCCATAGGGTCAAACAATAATAACTTATCAGCAAAGGTTCACCTCTAACCTAATTTCATAAATAAATACAAATATACAGCTATATAGAAATATACTTATCAGCAAAGGTTTTGGCCTCACTTACTGTAAGTTGGCTGTACTTATGCTGTTTATGTAATTTAAACTTTGGGTGGTGCTTGCAACATGTGTGTGCTGGTAAATGGATAGGCTGGCCTTTTTTTTGGCAAATTTAACTTTCAAATGCCCCTTCTTCCTGTAATCGCCTGAACTGATTATTTACTGAACTTCTATTTCAACACCTAGTATACTAATATGCTTGTTTTTTTGTTTCTTATTCATTTTCCCTATTTTGTTTTGTTGTTGACAGTAACCGGGCAGCAGCATTCTTACATCTTGTCAAACTCAATAAGGCTCTTGTTGATGCTGAGACAACAATCAAACTAAACCCTCAGTGGGAGAAGGTATGTAGGGCATGTCCTTTTGAATCTTTTTCATCGGGTCTTAATGTTAGTATCCAGATCCAATATTCATGCTGTCATCCAACTTTGCAGACAATTTTCTTGTTCTTAGCTTTTACCACTGTAATTTGATACTATTTCAGGGACACTTCAGGAAAGATTGTGTTTTGGAGGCAATGGAGAGACATGAAGATGTAAGGTCACAATTTCTATTTTTGCGTTTCTTACGGACTCTATAAAAGCCTGGCCAATCACATTTCTTCCCAAATTAATGAATTTAAATATTTATATTTATACTTTATGATTTATCAATGAGGCCTCTGTTTATAAGTGAACTAAAAGGAATCAACATCATCTGGATATTGTAAGGTGTAATTCCAATTCAACCCTGATTTACCAATTGTCTGACATTTGGATTACCGGCATTTCGTGGAATTCTGACCATAGATTATCTGTATAACTTGAAGGGAAATTATTAGATAACTAATAAAGCATCCATACTTTATGATTAAAGACATGTATGGAAAACCACTATAGCTTAAACTAAAAAGTTGACTTGGATGGATGACAATACCATAAAGTACAAGGATAACAAATGGCTGAAGGTAGCTCAAATTGCGGATAAGAAAAATGAATGTGGACATGCTGGAGACTGATGGGTGCTATGCGAAGAGTGCGGGATCTTAGCTAAAGAAGCAACTAGGGCAAAGGGTAGACCAAATAAGTGTTTACTGGGGGAGGATAAATTCTCTGATACAATGTGCTAAACTGAGGTAGCCTTTCACGGAGCTAAACAGAGAACTAAGTAACTTTGTAGCGGATTTACATTTTGGATATGGACTTTGTTTATGCAATTGTTTCGTAAGAAGGTTTATCAATTCTAAGGTCTCTGGTTTAATGGTCCTGGTGGCGATGAAAGATAGGACCTGTATCAACTTGTCACTGTCAGACATAGAGGACTTGTTTTTCTGCTCTTTGTTAAAGTGATTTCCTAATCTTTTATCTTTTTATTTTCTTCTTATATTGCAGGCTATCATTTCATTTCAAAAAGCCTTGAAGTTTAATCCAAAGAGCTTAGAAGTATCCAAGAAGATCAAGAGGCTCACACAATTAGCAATAGAAAAGAAGCAAGCTGAAGAACGCGAGAGTATCAGGTCCGGCATTGATATGAGAAAATATTTGGATCCTCTGAGATCAGAAATAGTAAGTCAATAATGAATGTTTTTGTTTGATTTTAGATATCCAACATAACTTGTAACTTTCTTGCATCATTTCATTACATGTCATGGTGATGACTTCCATGAGACAATCTAAATGGATAGGTCATCTTAATCAGTTAAAGTAAGCTTGATTTCTAGCAAATATTATCAGTTAATCTATGTCAATATTAGCTGCAAAATGAGTCATGACAGTTTGCTAATCTAAATGGATAGGTCATATACCACACAAGTATGAGAAAGAAAAACAATAAAATTACTTATATGATTATGCCGATGAATTTAAAAATGTCATACACGTTTTCTAATCCAAAAGGTCCAGGCCCCAATTATTGTTGTTTGCATCAAACATGACTCTTATAAGAGCTAACTGCATAGTATTTGGGAACAGCATAACAAAACCTGTGGTACTACCTATAGCCAAGACCAATATCCGAGTATCATACCAGCTTTATCACGGGCCACTACAAATTTTGATTTACATTGATAATACTAAGAAAATCATTCAAACAGAATACTAGATATTTAATGGTATCTTAACCAATGATATCCCACAAAAACTCAATTTAAAAAAAAACCCCAAAGAGAAAACCTGCACATGGTTTTTTTTGTTCGAAACTTGTATTTGTCTCCTCATTTCATTTCCTAATAGCCAGGATAGTAGGGTTGAAGTTTTCCATTCATATATTGTATAAAACTCGTGTTAACTTACTTTAAAAAAAACAGACAGAAAAGCATGAAGACTTTACAGCGAAATTAAAACTAAAAGTAGTAATTCTAGTAATGGTAGCCCTTTCATTGTTGTATACACGGTGAATGTATTCTAAGGAGATCCAGGAGATGGTCTATGTCATATGATAGTCAATATATATATATTGGTCCTTACTACATATGCTATGTATTTGAAAACTAGCCTAGGAAGTGAAAATCAAGATAACAACATGAAGTCGAAGATTGTTCAAACAAGATATATAATAGTTGCATAGGTGTGTGCATAAATGAAACATTTTATCACCGCTACTGAAATTGAAAGCTTTTGTTTTAACGAGAGGGAAGTGATTTGATATTTGAAGAACCCATTCTCATTATCATACCAAGTTATACCATTCGAATGAAACATATAATAAACTCAAATCATAAACCCAGCCTAAAATTGAAAACCCTAAACAAACTAATATGCAATTATCATTCAAATACCTAACAGAAAAACAAAATTAAACTCTTACCCAGTTATCAAATTAAACTCAACAGGAATTTCAAAAGAAATTTCAAAATTAAAAACTTACCCAGTTATCAAATTGCTCCCTGAGCTCCCAGTGCTCTGCATCACAAATAAATCACATATTCATCACAACTAATCTCACAAAATAACTACCCAAAAAAAAATCAAAAATCAAAAGAAAATGGTTTCAGACATCGGTTCTCTTAAACCTTTCAGATTCTCAAATTAATCCCTCGAATCTTCAAAGAAGAGGGGTTTCGGCGCTGGACGAGAGGGCGCTGGACGAGAGACGAGGAGGGGCTCCGACGGTGGACGCGAGACGAGGAGGGGCTCCGGCGGTGGACGAGAGACGAACAAGGGCTCCGTCTCTGGTGATCAAAGAAGATGGGGGTTCGGGTTTGGAGGCGGCAACGGTGGCGACATGCTACGACACCGGGTTTGGAGGCGGCAACGGTGGCGAGTTGCTGCAACAGCGAGTCGGAGGCGGCACCAGCGACGACTCGGAGGCGGCACGGTGACAACTCGGAGGCGGAAGCGACGAGTCGGAGGGTTGTTAGGGCTTGGGTGAAAGAAAAGGAACGGGAAGTTGTGGGTATTTGTGCGGTTTTTTAGAAAAATAAAAGGGAACGGGTTGTTAGAGCGCGGTTTTAATTTTCAGCATCCCGCTTAAGATTTCAACGTGCCAAAAGGGAAAAAAATGTGATCAATTACCTATAGCGTTTAAAATTTTTCAAACACTATCAAAAAATAAGGCATATACAATCTATAGCACTTACAACGTAAACGCTATCATTCAACGCTATAAAAAAAACAGTTTTGTTTGTAGTGGCAAATTCTTTCAAACTTGTAGAAAAAAGGTCTTACCTCGCTCAAACAAAAGTTCAAGGTCTACAGAATAAGGGGATAATACTTTTCCGTTCATTAGCCAAGGATTACAAAATTAGAATATACAATGCCCCTATGAAGCCTATTATAGATCTGTTCTAGCTCCCGAAGTTAGAGGTGGAGAACTTCTCGAGGTAGCCAGCAGAAGAGTCGAGCGATCCTATTTTGCATCTGAACTATCCTCGGACCCACTTAAGTCGAACCCCGCTCCTTGGGCCTCCAATTCCTCTAATTCGTTCAAACAACAGGCAACCATGGGAGGGTAATGAAGGCGATTAGGGGTATTCTTCAACTCGGCCAGAATTTGAGCCGACATATAATCACATCCAGCTTTGCAAGCTAGCGCCACTTTGGATCGACCGACCAAACTCCCCCAATATTCATCAACAATGTCTTGACGATAGCTATCAAGAAACCCCTGATGATGTTCGTCGATAACCTCCTGGAGGGGTTTAGACTTCAAACGTGTGTTCTCCTCTTGAAGCTTGACAATGGTCACCTCTGCCGTGTCTAACGACGCTTCGCATGAGCTACCGCTACCTTCTTTGCCTGGGCTAAGACATCCGCGTGATCCCTCTTGTGAAGTACCTCATTTAGCTCTTGTCTAAGCTTGGCAACTTGGGAGATATCGAAAGAAGACCCCTCAGCATGCTGTTGTCGAAGGGCCTTCTCGTTGGACCGTAGTAGTTCAACTTCATCAAGAAGCTCCTCGTGAGAGGTCCAAAGATGATCCACCCGATTGAATAGCTCATTCTCCAATAGAGCCCGTTGGAGAAAGTAGTTGCGAAGAGCCTGGTGAAGGCCCCGGTCAGGAACCCTCCTAAGAATCTTCTCATCCTCAGGAAGACAGAACTGATCAAAAACCCTCGCCTAGGCTCAGTAAGACCCGATAACGGACCCCCTAACGTCCAAATGGCACTCGGCCTCAAAACGGAACTCTGGCTCGGGCTCCCTCACATATTGAGCAGCAGATGAAGGGTTCCCAATAATATAGGACCTCAGCTTGTCCCATTCTATCTCACCTACATCGGAGATTGTGCGGAAAGGTTCGCTCCGTATGGCTGGTGAACCCGCCTCTGACTGTGGCCGACTCTTCTCCCTCGGATTGAGATTGCACCCTTAAGCGTTGTTCAGATTTATTCAATCTCTCCCCCCTAAAAGGGGCTCGGCCGACCATCTCAGAGCCGAATCTTCTTGCGGATCGTTCAGAGGGATGAGAGCCACCCACGTTCCTTCACTTCTCAACCGAATTAACCCTTCAGCCTCCCTCCTCCTCCTTTGGGTAAGGGAGGGCACCCTCTCCTTAGCAGTCAACAGGACCTCTGAAGAAGGGATGTCTGAACAGAGACGCTTGGTCGGCCTGGCAGAAGATTCCTCCTAAGGATCAATTAACCAGGCTTGGGGCATTGTAGTGGCTCACCCAACGATAAGGGTAGTAGCTCTATCTGTGTCGAAAATAGTCGCCGGCATGACTGACACCATGGTCATTCATAAAACGAACTTGTCCAGCAGAACCTCAAAGCAACGAGAGCATGTGAACTTCTTGATCAATTCAAGATCGACCTTTTCTCCTTTGGATAACGCCCTCTTGACGAGTGCATCCCTCCGAATCTTAGGCCAATCGGAGCAACCCATCTCCAAATCCTCCCCAGACACCCACACAAACTTCTTCTTCCATTCCTTGTGGGAATCTGAGAGGTCTATGATCAACTTGAAAGATCACCGAAATCTGAAAGTAATAGTGGAGCTCCTTCTGACTTGCCTTTACCACCACAAAATAGGCAAATAGCTTCGTTGTAGGTTTAATAGCCAACCAGCTGCATATGACCACAAAAGCCACCACAATAGCTATGACATTCGGTTTCATTTATGCCGACGAAACCCCCAAATCCTCGAATAGTTGCTTCAAGAATGGAGGAAATAGCAATCTCAAGCCGCACTCCAAATGGTTCAAATAGAGGGGATGTTGCCCCGGCCCGTGGTCATAAATAGCCTACGTTCCCTTCGGGATGGACATCTTATACTCCTTGGGGATGTCAAACTTTATAGACATGGTCTTTAGTTGGACCAAGGTCACCTTCGAACGAATGATCTCTAGATATTCCCGATGAGCAACCAATTCCAGATCCATGAAGAAGCAAGGAAGCAATCCACAGGAAAGACAAAATCAAAAGAGGGTTAAGAGAGAGAAGAATAGTCCGAGCGGATGAAAATCTCAAACAGTACAAATATAGTTTCCTACTTTACAGCTGTCAATATGTCCCAGCCATTGGAGCCCACTTAATCCTACGGCTAAGACCTAGCCTCGGAATTTGAAATACCGCCGAATGACGTTTCGCCTCCTTTCCTCGAAGAAACCATAGTCTGACAAAGGAACAACCCAGACAGCTTTAGTGATGTCCGGTGATGATAGGTGTCCTCGCATCCAGAAAGGGCGCCTCCTCGCTAGCGAAACCAGTTCTATTCAATCTCTGCTTATTTATTTCTCTTGAATCTGGCCACAACCACATCCAAGTGAAAGGGGCTGACTGTTATGGGGTGTTCCCTATTCCCCACAGATATGCTATCCCAAGAGTAGGTTCGGTCGAGTCGACTTCATTCTAAGACGACTCGAAGGACGGACTCAGTCGAGCAAAAGATGATTACCCATTGATCAACTGACACTTTTCCCAAGGGTGACTCGGAATATTATTTTTTAGTAATATTTGACCTTTTATGACCACAGAAGTGACTCCACATCACTCGCCAACAAGCCCCGACGGCTGCTGGGTCCCCATAATGCAGAAGTGACTCCACGTCACTCGCCGACAAGCCCCGACGGCTGCTGGATC